ATTCTGCAGAGTTTAAATGGTTGGTCAACGCACGGGCTGCCCGTGCGAAGATGTGTTTTTTGCACAGTTCCCCACAAGTTTTTGTCGCTAACGGCACTGCTTTTCCGGCAGATGCCTTTACTAAAGGAATTTCAGACTGGCCGCCAGGACTGCCAGGAAACATCATCCCTTCAAAATTCCAGTCTTCTGGCTTCTCAGGTTCCCGAACTAGCAACTTACCTGAAAAAAACTTTCACGGGCCTGTACGTGGGTACCACGCATGCTCGAGGGCTGGGTTTGAGCTGATTAATACCTATTTGGACGGGGATATTCCTTTAAAATTCCAGTTTTCTAGCTCCTCAGGTTCCCGAGCTAGCTTACCCGAAAAAAACTTTCCCGGGCCTGTACGCATACCGGGACTGGGTTTGAACTCTTTAATACCTACTTGGACCAGGAACATTCCTTCCAAATCCCAGCCTTCTAGCTTCTCAGGTTCCCAAGTTATCAACTTACCTGAAAAAAAATTTCACGGGCCCGTACGTGTGTGCCACGCATACCCGAGGGCTGCATTTGAGTTCATTAATACCTTCCTGGACGGAGAACGTCCCCTTAAAATTTCAGCTTCCCAGCATTTCTGGTTCCCGAGTTAGTAGCTTGCCCGTAAAAAACTTTGGCAGGTTCGTACGTAGATACCTCGCGGGTAAGGGCACCCATTTTGAGGATTGGGACCCGAACGTGCATGTAGATTAAGTTCCCAAAGTTTCAGCGCTGTAGCTTTTGTAAGTCTTGAGATGAAAAATCGGTACAGACACACGCACATACACATACAGACACACAAACACACAGACAGCCCCTCGTTAATATGCATTTTCTTCATTGCATAGACGCAAAAAACGCATAAAAATCCCCTGTTCACTTTCTCTAGGGGATAGCGACGTTTTAAAGTAGACTAAGTATTTTCCAGCTACAAAGTCCGCTGTAAGATTGTCAGTGGTTTCTCCTTGTGATGATTCTGTACAATCCAGCTTGTTGTTCTGACTTCTTGACATGTGCTAGTACTAATTTGCTACCGAAATGAATTGTAGGAGTTGGTGAAGGATTTTTTTTTTCGCTAAATGAGTAGGATCACTACACTGAATCGGCCAACGTGTGAGTTGTGCAGTGAGTGATCACGGAAAATGAAACAGTCACGGTAGTCCGCTAATTTCCTTCTTCCATGTATTTTGTGATAAACACAGTCATTTCCTGTGTAAAATTACTTCGGTTATGCCTATAATTGCCTCTCTGAAATACTGGTTTTCAAGTTTTTTTTAATGATTTGGGGTCTTGATAAGCAGCTTTCGTTGTTTTTTTTTAAGCAGTCGGAGGAAAGAATGTTTTTCATTTTTCTTTTTACATAGATTCTTAATTTTAGCTGGAAATTATCACTGTAGCATCGAAAAACCGGAGATTCGACTACTTAGCTTGTTAGGTTTTTTTTTAAAAATTAGAATTGTTTGTAAGGCGCTTAATAAACCGCAAAAAATTTTTTTACACCGGGTATATGGCACTGATTAAACTGTGGGTGGTAGGGTGAAGTATCCTTGAATTTGTTAATTATTTGGTAAATTTATTTCTGTAAAATCTTTCAAAGATGTCGCGACTGTATGGATCGGTTATTCCGTATCTGTTGGGTGTCTATATTCTTTGCGCTCTCTCGGTCGTCACTGTGGGCGGTAAGTCATTGGTGTTTCATTGTCATTTTCGAACAGTTGACGCTGCTGTTCTCATTTATGTTTTTTTTTTTCTTTTTAGCGCATAGACTCTTCGCTGCAAGAAATATGTTTTCAGAAAGCTATTCTATTAAAACTCGAGACGGCATGGTGCTGGGCTACACTGCCTTACTTCACGTTTTCATCATTTACTGGAATAATATGTAAGTTTGATGCCCCTTACGCACTGTGCAAAAACCTGTTAAAATAGGGTATAAATGTTGGTGATGCGATGGCTTGATTAGTACACGTCTGCACCACATCACTGCTTACAAGAAGTGTTCACATGCTATCAGCAGCGCATTTTAATTAAATGTCTGCATTTTTAGTTTGTGTTGAACTTCAGTTACGTCTAAAAGTGATTGCTTGCATCTTAGCAAAGCAGTTGTTTGCAGTGTTGACTGGTTCACTTTACTGGTCTCGTCTTTATTGTTTTCATATCTCATGTATATCGTTCGCAAATTAGCCGGTGATATAATTCGAAAACTGGGCAAGAAATCTGCAAAAAAGTAATTTTCGTTCTTTGGCTTTGTAGAAGATGCCGCACTTTGTCGTGTCATTGGCACACAGCACTTTTCACATTTCAGTTTTGTCTGTTTTCAGTTTTTTTTTTTTTTTTATTGATGAAATGTAGTGTTTTTTTTTTCAGTATTTTACCACTGGTCCTGTAGCGTTTGAGCATAAGCTTTTTTTTTTAAGAAAATTAGCATTTTATTGCTTCATTTGCGTGGTTTTGACATAAAAATTAGTTGGTATCTTTCGCGCAA